ATAAAGACATCTTAGATGCAGGGGTCTTACTACTAATAAAAATTTGACTGCTATTTTAGGTGTGGACATGCTAGCCATGTTTTGTCCATGTGTTTCTTGCAGAAGAAGTAAAAAGTAAGGGTTATTCTGAATTTTTTTCTTATTTAGTAGGATTCAAAATGAACCCCAATAACATTTAAATAATCCATTAATTATAAAGAAAAGCTAATTGTCGAAGAGGTGGGTCTCAGAGGCCATTAAGAATAAAAACTTGTCGAATTTCATAAGCATGTTTATGAAGCCTGAATCACACTAAACCTCAAATCAAGGCAAAGGGATTTATTTAGCAATTTGAGTATTCCTGGAAGTAAATTAAACTTCAAGTTAAGCCAGACATGGAGGCAAACGCATGTAATCCCAGCAACTCAGGAGATTGAAACAAGAGGATTCCAAGTTCAAGGCCAGCTTCAGCAACTTAGTCAGGCCTTAAGCAACTTAGCAAGATCCTGTCTCAAAATAATGAATGAGGGCTGGGGTTGTAGTTCAGTGGTATAGTGCTTGCCTTGCACATATGAGGCACTGGGTTTGATCCTCAGCACCACATAAAAATAAATTAATTAAATAAACGTATTGTGTCCATCTACAACTAAAAATATTTTTTAATTTAAAAAATATAATGAATGAATAGATGGACTGGGGATACAAACTCAGTGGTAAAGCACTCCTGGGTTCAATCCCCATTACCAAAAAAAAAAAAAAATTTTTTTTTTCAAGTTAAAACAAAAATAAGTATTCACACAATTTAAATATTTATATACACCCAACAACAAAATTATGTTATTTTATAGAGTAGGACTACATGTTATTTTTAATAGTCTCATCAATTAAAGCTGGCATGACACAAAGGCATTCACTGAATGTCTAACTGAATTATTTTTGTTTTATTAATTGTGATTTGATATGCAGTATATCTGATCAGTATAAGGAAAATATTTATAGGGTTTTACTGTATTTTTTAAAAAAATGCTAAACACGTAGCTCCAAACCTTTGCAAAGAGGCTTAACACACTGTCCTTCCTTTTCCTGATTCTGAAGAATGTTATTGAACAAGAAGATAAATGTAGTAATGGGGGGAATAAAGACTTTGAGGCAGGATAAATGAATTTTGTTCCTTTTTTTTTTTTTTTTTTTTTTTTGAGTTTAGCTCTCTGCTGGAGCCTCTGGAAAAGAATGGCATTAAAACAATAACATTTCTGGAAAGTTAGTAATTTTCAGGTCTTTCTTAATGCACTCTATATTGAGAGATAACAGTGGAATGATAATCCAGCAAGGAATTAAAACTACTTAATTAATATATAGGCAGTTGGACCTGCCTCTGAAGACTTCAGCAGGTAAATAAAGAGCAATACATTTTGTAGCCAATTCAGACTGTGAGCTAGCCACAGAATAATCATAAAAGTAATTTGCCAGGAATTCAGTAAGTAATCAATACATGTTAGCTTTAAAAAGTGGTATCTTCCAAACAATAAAATGCCAGTTCCTTGAGGGCAATAATATCAATATCCCAAATAATATTCAGTACCTCTTCATTCAGTCTTTATGATGAGTCTTTATGATGAGTATATGCCGTACCTCTCAAAATGACTTCCTTGAATGTGTTGCAACAACTAACCTATACTTAGAGTAAAAATCTGACAGAAAGAGGAGAGTGGGAAGAGAATAGCAGGCCGTTTGTTGGCTGATGGAGCTGGCCTTTCATTCTCTACATTGTATACAGTATGGAAAAGTCAACTGGTCTGAGAAAGTATGTTCAGATCTCATAGACAAATAGATTGCAGAATTGAAATACTGTAGGCTCTGGTTACTCTCTGTATCAAACAATACAGGAGCAACTCATCTGTCTTCCCAGAGCCCATTATTCATCTAACCTTACTCAAGTGAGAACGAGGTTAAAGTAAACACCTTCAAGACCACTATCCCTGTGTCTCCATATGCCATCAGATACTGACCTATGAAACCTATTTGAGAATCTAATACAAACAGATCCTTGTAAGAACAAACAAAGCACTTAATACTTAAACCAAAAATGTCTCCTTTCTATCATTTATTTTCTTAACAATTTGCAATTTGAAGTATAACATTGGGAATACTGACATTTTGGCATATTTGGTATAACCAAAGGTTATCTTGACAAATTCATTTTTAACTTCTTTTTTCCTGGTGCAAATACACACACACACACACACACACACACACAGTAGTTTGGCATAATTATAGAAGCAAATTGGCCTGACCACATTCCTGATAATTTTTGGTAGAACTCCTTTGGCAATGCACTGAAGTTGTATGTGGACAAAAACTGTTAATTTACAGATCCCACCAGGCATTCTCTTTTCTATTTGGCAAGTACCCTTCTTCCCTCTTGAGATTAGGAAGTATCATTCTACCTTGTGGGAGTCCGGAGTTTTGTTTCTAAGTGGACTGCTCAAATTAGATAGGGGAAAAAGGAGAGATAAGAGTTTTCCACATGACTGACATGGTCAATATGTTCCAGAGAGGCCAAAGTCATTGTTTTAATGGATAGATTTGGGTTCTGTGCTAGTTGAGTTTCATAAACTTTTAAGTAGCAGGTTCTCTAATTTTTGCTTTTGTTTTTAAAATATGTGCATTTGACAGAGCAAGAAAGCACAAACATTTTGACTATAGCATAGAATGAGTTTTTCATCCTGGAAAAGAAAAGTTCAATTTGTTACTTTTTAAGTTTTTAAATTATATTTGAAATTTTCAGTATGCAAAAATACTGCCTTATTTTTTTACTTAACCAGTGTATCAGCATCAGATGCATTTAAATCAGTTTAAAATCCCTTTTTTGATTAAGAATAAGGATCTAAAATCATGTACAATCAAAAGAATGAAAAGTTATACTCCATTTATGTATGATGTGTCAAAATGCATTTTACTGTCATGTATAACTGATCAGAGCAAATTAAAAAAAAAAAGAAGAAGAAGAAGGACCTAAACAACCAATATCTCCACACATGGTAGTAGTAGTGAGCTGTTGTCCTACATTTCATTAGGAATATGACCTTTCCATTATGACCATTTATTGTATTGTCCCCTTCCTAAGTGGCTGCACTTTCTTATTACAGTTTTCCAATCCAAAATGGTAATGACCTAAGATAGCAGCTCTTTCAGCCTTGCAGGCCAGATGTAGCATTTTTGTGTTGGCAGCTACATACACAGAATGAAAAAAATTGCACAAATCCAATGAAGAATCTCAAAAGTGATTTTTTGTCAGTGTGTCTCTGAAGATGGAGAAGACCAAGCTGAAAAAAGAAAGAAAGAAAATGAGATAAGAATGTATTACTTGCAGTTCTAGGGGTTGTGGTATCAAAACCATGACTTTTGTCACGGACGTACCAACTTTATATACATAAAAGTTTTAAAACTTTCTACAGTGAATGTGTATTAGAGTTCAGAAATAAAATACAATTCTTTTTGAGAATTTGGTGGTGATTGTGAATAACTGTTTAAATTCAAACCTTCTGCCTAATTGAGACACTCTCTTTTGTGACTGCTGTGTTGATATGCCTATCATAACTAGGAAATTCCAGAGCAGATCTGGTACCATGCGCCTGCTGATTAGGGGGTCTCTTAGAAAGCCTAAGAGCCTTCTACAACAATACTTTAGTATTTAGCTGTGATCCTTGTAGAAGAGTGTGTGTGTGTGTATATAAATGTAAAAATTACAATAATGCTGAATTGATTTATTTTCCTCTGGTTTGCCTAGCTATGCCCCAATTTCTGTATCATACTCTATAGGCCTAAACTCTGAAATGTGATCTCACTAAGTAAGTTAAAGATTGTTTTCTGTAGGGTCCACTGAGAAATCAGTGTCACTATGGAAAGTAATACCAGGCGTTTCTGTTGACTTGAAGATTATTGAGCTCCTCATTCATGAGGTGGGTCAGAGGTATTCTGTTGAAAAAATGCCAGCCTTGATGACATACAACAGGTGCAGAGCTCTGCCCTGGAAGCCCTGGGAACACTCTGAGAATGGCTGGCATTTTGGCAATGCTTACAGCTCCCACAGCTGCTGTGCATCAAGTGCATACTGCTCCAGCACTTCAGCGTGCTGTGATGCAGGACTGGGCTCAACTCTTCCTTAACACCCCAAGCTGTGACTGACTATCAAATATCTGGCCAGAGTATTGCCACAAGGGTTGTCAAGTGAAATTCTGGGGCAGAAGTCAGCAGTCAGTTAGTGTGCCCTCAATAGTTATTCAACCAGGGTAAAGGGAGTAGAAAAGAAATTTAGAGTAGGTCTATTATTTTAAAAAAGTACAGAACCAGTGTTACAACTGGGAATTTTAGAGTCCTTGGCTAAGAGTCAGGTGTATGGTATTATATAAGGATTTATCAGTCACTGTTTAAAAAGAATATTGGATAGCCTCTGTGAAATGAATGAGGGGAGCTAAGCCAGGATGAGGCAGATTTAGTAATAAGTTCTCTCATCACATCTCTTGGCCAAGAAAAACATGCACTTTCTCCAGAGACAGAATTTTTCTTCTATTCCAGGAGGTGGAGGAACAAATGAAGTGTATGTAGTCCAGGCTTTCAGATGAGCAATTTTCACTAGCAAATTTTTGAAACCTACTACCTCCAAAGAAGTGAAAAGAAAAATTGCGAGCTAACTAGAGACTTTCCACATTGGGAATAGCATCTCTGTAAAACACAAGCTGGTCTTGTGTTCAGTTCCCCCACCCCCAAATACAGAAATCTTGGTCTGGTGTTAATATACTAGGCCAGCATGCTCTGTCTCCCAGAGTGGTGGTGGGTTTTGACTATGTAAATGTGCAGCAGTATGTGGAACTGTTTCTCTTTATAATCCTGAAGATTGTAATAGTAATTAGAAGAGCTTTTAGTCTTGGGTCATTTTATTTGACTTGAGAGACATAAAGAATATTTAAACCTCTCTTTTCAGATTGATCTTGACTTTCCTCGTTTTTTTTCCATCTCAGATTATTCAACCCCTGTTAGAACTTGACCAAAATAGAAGCAAGTTAAAGTTGTATATTGGACACCTGACGGCCCTCTGCCATGACCGAGACCCCCTAATCCTTCGTGGACTCACTCCACCAGCTTCCTATAACTTGGATGATGACCAGGCAGCTTGGGAAAATGAGCTGCAGAAGATGACCCAGGAACAGGTAAGTCTCTCAATTGAGCTTTGACAAGAACCTAGAAAAGTTCAACTGATATTTGGGTTGATACAATGAGCGCTACCTTGGGGGAGAAGGTTCCATATATCACTTTTAATTGATTTGTACTTTTAATTTTTTTCCTTTTTCTTTGTTTGCTTACTTTCTAAAGTTTGTGTTTGCTGGGGATGGAACTCAGAGCCTCATATATGCTAGGCAAACACTGTACCACTGAGCTGCATCTCCTGTCCTAAATTTATTTTTTAAATTAACAAAAAAAGGTATTTATCATGGACAACATACTGTTTTGATGTGTGCACATTTTGGAATGTCTAATAAATCAAGCTACACATTTCTCACATGCTTTCTTTATTATATATATATATATATGTGTGTGTGTGTGTGTGTGTGTGTGTGTGTGTGTGTGATGAGAATTACTTAAAATCAGCTCCTTAGTGATTTTCAGGAGTTTAAACATTGTTATAAACAATAAGCAGCTTGTTGTATAATAGATCTCTTGAATTATTCCTACTTTCTAACTTAAGTTTTGAACCCTCTTGCTGACATCTCCTCAACCTCCTCCCTCTCCCCCATCCCTGGTAACCACCATTCTTCTGTTTCATTCAAGATTGTTAAACATGAATAGTCTTCAACAGATATTTGGCATTATCATTTCAAGGAAGTGCCATTTGATTCTTCCCCCAGAGATACTTGCTTATGTATCACAAAGGACTGATGTAGAAAGGAGGGTTACGAACAGTCTATTAACCTGCCCTAGGTTATCGCTTAGAAGGGATGACCACTAAAAAAAGGTCTGAGGTTAGAATATTTGGATAAGGGACTTTTGAAAAGTAGCCTGGGGAACTGTGTACTACAATTTACCATTAAGTGGAAGAACCATTAGATGAATTAGTTGAGGTCAACCCATGTCTTAGTCCATTCAGGCTGTTATAACGAAGTACTAGGTGGCTTATAAACAACAGGGATTTATTTATCAAGTTCTAGAAGCTAGAAATCCTATATTGAGCAGTAGAAATTAAGGTAAATCATACTTATATACTGGAAAAAACATTCCTTCTTCTGTTAGGCCATAAGCATTGAGGACTGAGTCAAATCAATCACTAATTGAGCTAGGTTTGGGTTTGTTTTTGCTACAGTTATACTTCATTGTACCACAATCTTTAGATTTTCCACTGCCTTGTGTTTTTTTAATTAGATTTACTTTTTAACTGATACATAAAAATTATACATATCAATGGGGTATCATGTATATATTAATGGGGTACATGTGGCCTGCACCACAGAGGGCTTTCCATCCTCCTGCCCTCTCCAAGCTGCAGACTGCCCTCATTTCTTAATGTATCACTCAGAGTGGAAGCATTAATGCTCTCTTCATCCTTCCACCTCAGTCTTAGCATGCCTGCCTCACCCCCACTGACAGATACCAGCTCCTACTAGCAGTGCAGGATCTAGACTATAAGGTGATTTCCTACTGCTTCCCCAGTAGAAGCAGAATTCTGCTTTGAATCAGTCCATATTTAGGGGCCTACTGGACTTCCTCTCTCTTTTCTAGTGACAGTTTGCTTTTGCTGTGTGTCAGTGTAAGAGGTGGGAAGGATTTTCTACTCCTCCTCTGGTGGCAGTCAATCTGCCTAAGAACAGGGGTAGTGAAGGTTTCCTTTCCTTCTCCCAGGGGTGCACAGCTTTTCCTGTCAGAGCAAGGTTAGGCTCTGGGCACTGAAGGATTTCCTGCCCTCCCTGGCACTTGCTTTTTACTTCATATCAAATAACAGTCCAGATGCCTAGCATCTCCTGGCCTCCAGTCACTAACTATGGTCATAAATGACATGGAGCATGGACAGATTGATTACCCTAGTACTCCTGCTGTCCCTCAGCTTTAGCAGTCACAGCACATGTATACCCCAGAGAGAGAGAGAGAGAGAGAGAGAGCTCTCTCAGGTTTTCTATTTTATACTCAGTCCTACAACAAACTCTCAGTGGAGGCCAGTGGAAGTGGATTCCTTTTTCTCTGGGGCTCCAAGGGATTCTACTCTGTCAGGCTGGCCCATGTTCTGACTTTAAGAATTTATTTAAATTGTAGGTATTAAATTGTTTTCTTTACCAACTTTTTGGTACTGGAGATTTAACCCAGGGATACAATATCACTGAGCTATAACCCCAGTCCTTTCTTCATTTATTTTTTATTTTGAGGCAGGGTCTTTCTAGGTTGCAGAGGCTGGCCTCAAATTTGTGATCTTCCTGCCTCAGCCTCTCAAGTAGCTGGGAAAACAATCATGTGCCACTGTGCCCTGCTCTCTTTACCCACTTTTAAGGCTGCTGTCTCTTCTTCTTGTTCTTTGCCAAAGGTATGTTCATCTCTCCTCAGATGGGCTTGTCACCCTTGAATTCAATTTATGTAGTTACCTTAGGATCTCTAATCTCTGATAGGCTCCAAAGAATTATGATTTTTATAGATTATCCAGATCTTCTTCTTGTTAGGGTAAAACTAATCTTTTAGGGCTTTCAACATTCTAAGCAAAAGTAGAGCTCCTTATAAACTTGGATAATTGTCAGTTTGCAAGGTAAAAGAAGAAAATGCATAGAAGACAGTATTTTATGGCTTTATTTATTTCTTGGTTCTTGGATATACGAAGTTTTACTCTATTTCCACAAAGCTCTGTTTATCTAAAACCCTCTAATTCAGCTTCTGAAGATAGCTGTAGTGTATTAAGCTTATGCTACAGTATTTTTTCTGTGCAGACTATTTGTAAAATAGAGATGATGAAAATAACCCCTTGAGCTGGGTGCAGAGGCTAAGGCAGGAGGATTGCACATTGGAGGCTAGCCTCTACAACTTAGTGAGACCCTTTCACAAAATAAAAAATAAAAACTAGTAGAGCATCCCTGGGTTCCATTCCCAATGCCATTTAAAAAAAGAAGAAGAAAAGAACAACTCGCTGTATATGTATGTTGTTTTAAGAATTGGAATTCTTCAGCTTTGGGGTACTGATAAGTAACCTGGTACTTTAATTTGTGCTTACCTAAATAGGGCTTACAGACTATTTGAAGAGCCAGAAGAGAACAAGGTAACTTCTCATACCCTTAAAGAATGATAGCTTGAGAATCAGAAAGGAAATAAGGTGTTTGTCTTAGTCCATGTTCTGTTGCTAATAATGTAGTGCCATAGACTGGGTAATTTAAATAAAAGAGGTTTGTTTTGGTTCTGGTCTGTTGAAGGGCAGATCTGTATCTGGTGATGGCCTCCTTGCTGGCAAGGTTCTGAGGCAGCACGGTGTATCACTTGGAATAGTCAGGAATTGTGTGAGAGACCTAGCCAAACTAACTTTCACAGTAGGCTCAATCTGGAAATAAGCCATTGTCACATTAATCTATTAATCCATTAATTCCTTGAATGAATTAATCCATGCATGAGGACAGAGTGTTAATCACCTCTTAGGTTCTATAATGGGGATGAAATTTCAACATGAGTTTCAAAGGGGACAAAGCATATTCAGACTATAGCATTGTTCCTTCATCTAACCCAATCTGGAAAATTTCTTTTGACCAAGCAGAAATAAAACCTCATGAATGTATTCAAAGATAACAGTTCCCATTGCTTAAAATATACATACATATACAACCGCATTGCAGAAAAAATGGTGAGCCTCCTGTGGTAGCCCCCATCTGTCATCCCAGCTACTCAGGAGACTGAAGAATTTAAATTCAAGGCCAAACTAGGCAACTTAGTGAGACCCTGTTTCAAAATAAACTTAAAAGACTGGGGATCTAGTTAAGTAGTAGAGCACTTGCCTACCATATGCAAGACTCTGGGTTCAATCCCTAGTAAGGCAAAAAAAAAAGCAAAAAGAAGAAATAATAGCACTGGAGTGAACTAATCTGGATCCAAAGTCCAGCTCTGTCACTGTCTGGTTTGACAACACTGGAGCAGTTCTTAAACTTTCAGGCCTCAGTTTTTTCAGCTTTAAAATAGAGATAATAATGCTTATCTTCTAGGGTTACTTGAGTTTTAATGAAATAATAATACCAAAATATATTATATATATATGTAATATATATTGCTAGTATAATTGGAGAGAAACACTTAGTAGTGGTGGATTTAAAGGGAGCTAATGTTAGACCTTATATTCAGTCATGAATCCCTTTATCAGATTCTCCCTCCACACTAGTTAAGCTTTCTCAATTTTATAAGCTTTTTTCTTTCTTTACAAGGTACTCATATGTATGGCACTTCTTTTTGTATAAACCATAGCATTATAAAGAATAAAAATAGTGAGTTCAGGTAGATTTGAGAGATAAATAAATCTTTGGGTTTTTTAAAGTAATGGTGAATGGAACTCAGGGTGTCATACATGCTAGGCAAGCACTCTGCCACTGAACTATATCTCTTAGCCCTTATCTTTCAAAGAAATCCAGAAATGAGAATATAAAAATTTTGGTCAGTTAATGAAAAATTAAAGATCAATCCTAAGAATAGATTGAAGGGAGCACCTGAGAAAAAGTTAGAAAATAGTCTTATCATTATGTCAATTCTACAGAGGTTCACGTAGGAAATATGATGGTTTATTTGTTTTGTTCCTGGTACTATAAAATTGACAGAACTGGCATTCATTTTCTCTAAATAAAGCATTCCATTTTTGAAAGTTAGAAGATTGTTTAGACCCAAAGATCTATCACACTTTTTTTTTCCCAACCTCTGTAACTTCCTATGGTAGCTTAATGGTAGTTACAGGGATACCTACATGGCAGAATATGATAAATTTCTTTCTAGGTCCATAGCAGTGACTTTTCATTTTGGTTTTCTATGTCTGTACCCAAATTTTGTATTCTTTGGAGGTTTCTTGGGGCATGGTACATTAGTTTGGATTGAACTGAATTGAGCAGGTGGGTACATGGACAACAGGCAGGCAAAAATATGCTTGTACACACACACACACAGATGCCATATACTATTGGTGTCAGCTTGAGTATTGTGGAAGTTAGAGGCACAG